GCCGCCGGCCGGCATGGGGCCCGCCGGGAGCCACCTGAGCCCCCGCCTGTGCCTGCTGCTGCAGGTGCTGGGCTTGTGCGCCGGCATCAGCTCCATGGACAGCGAGCGCCCGGGCGACGGGCGGTGCCAGCCCATCGAGATCCCCATGTGCAAGGACATCGGCTACAACATGACGCGGATGCCCAACCTGATGGGCCACGAGAACCAGCGCGAGGCGGCCATCCAGCTGCACGAGTTCGCGCCGCTGGTGGAGTACGGCTGCCACGGGCACCTCAAGTTCTTCCTCTGCTCCCTCTACGCGCCCATGTGCACCGAGCAGGTGTCCACGCCCATCCCGGCCTGCCGGGTCATGTGCGAGCAGGCCCGGCTCAAGTGCTCCCCCATCATGGAGCAGTTCAACTTCAAGTGGCCCGACTCCCTGGACTGCGGCAAGCTGCCCAACAAGAACGACCCCAACTACCTGTGCATGGAAGCCCCCAGCAACGGGTCGGAGGAGCCGCCCCGGGGCTCCAGCATGTTGCCCCCCATGTTCAGGCCGCAGCGGCCCAGCGGCGCCCACGACTTGCCGCAGCCCAAGGACAGCCTCAGCCGGGGCTCCTGCGACAACCCGGGCAAGTTCCACCACGTGGAGAAGAGCGCCTCCTGCGCCCCGCTCTGCAGGCCGGGGGTGGACGTGTACTGGAGCAGGGAGGACAAGCAGTTCGCCGCCATCTGGATTGCCGTCTGGTCCATCCTGTGCTTCTTCTCCAGCGCCTTCACCGTCCTCACTTTCCTGATCGATCCCCAGCGCTTCAAGTACCCCGAGAGGCCCATCATCTTCCTGTCCATGTGCTACTGCGTCTACTCGGTGGGGTACATCATCCGCCTCTTCTCGGGCGCCGAGAGCATCGCCTGCGACAGGGACAGCGGCCAGCTCTACGTGATCCAGGAGGGCTTGGAGAGCACCGGGTGCACCATCGTGTTCCTGGTGCTCTATTACTTCGGGATGGCGAGCTCCTTGTGGTGGGTCATCTTGACTTTGACTTGGTTTCTGGCTGCTGGGAAAAAATGGGGGCACGAAGCCATTGAGGCCAACAGCAGCTACTTTCATTTGGCAGCCTGGGCCATTCCAGCTGTGAAGACCATCATGATTTTAGTTATGAGACGGGTAGCTGGAGATGAGCTGACAGGACTGTGCTACGTCGGAAGCATGGATGTGAACGCCTTGACGGGATTTGTACTCATCCCTTTAGCTTGCTACCTAATCATTGGCACGTCTTTTATTCTCTCTGGTTTTGTGGCCCTCTTCCACATCCGGAGGGTGATGAAAACCGGCGGGGAGAACACAGATAAGCTGGAGAAACTCATGGTCCGGATTGGTGTCTTCTCGGTCTTGTACACGGTGCCTGCCACTTGCGTGATAGCTTGCTACTTTTATGAAAGACTTAACATGGATTATTGGAAAATCGTGGCGACTCAGCAGAAATGCAAGATGAACAATCAGACTAAAAATTTAGACTGCACGATGAGCAATTCCATCCCGGCAGTCGAAATTTTTATGGTCAAAATTTTCATGTTGCTGGTTGTGGGCATTACTAGCGGGATGTGGATCTGGACTTCAAAGACTCTTCAGTCCTGGCAAAATGTCTGCAGTCGAAGATTAAAGAAGAGGAGTCGGAGAAAACCTGCAAGTGTTATCACGAGTAGCGGGATCTACAAAAAACCTCAGCATCCCCAGAAAACCCACCATGCAAAATATGAATCTGCATTGCAGCCACCCACCTGTGTATGAACGGGCTGCGTAGGAAAGGGGCTCAGCCTGTAGAGAGTTGCAAACGGCCACTGTAGCAACCCGCAACTGAAAATAAGAATTGGTGCTTTTTGTCAGAGGACGGTAGAGCAGAGCAAGGCAAAATGTGTCCCCCTGAAATTCGTGAGAAACTGCAGGTAAATCTACTTAGGGAAATGTTTTCAGTGAAAGGAGTCTTGTCAGTGTGAGCAGCCTCTTCCGTTTCTAAGTTAGAGTAAGAGCCTTCATCCAGCCCTCTGATGTTGCTTAACTTTCTGTAGCTGAGCCGGCTTTCTTACAGCTTTCTGAGTAACGAGGTAGGGTCAAGTTTTGTGGAGCTCCTATTCTGCTGTCCAAGGGCCTGCTTGAGGAATTGTTATTTGGGGAAACAAACGGTTCCACCGAGGCCTGCGCTCAGTAAGTGTGCACTGCTGTCTGTGCAGGCAACTTGTGTGCGAACCTGAAAAAAAAAAAAAAAAGAGAGCCTTTCCAACGCTTCTCACTTTACTGGGTTTGGAGTGCCTAAAACTGGGCTCAATCTACAAGGCTCACCAATATGCTTTTGCTAAAAGAGAAACTTCCTGCACCAGACAAACTTTGTGAATAAGAATAATGTGCAATACATTTTTTTTCCCTTACCATGACATGAAAAGAGAAACAAGTATTTTGCTGTACATAAAGGCAACAAAAGAAATCCCTTAACAAAAGAACTAAGAGGTCTAGTCCTCAGAAACCCTTTAGTGTTACATTTTGTGGCTTTTTAATGGAAATCAAGCCAATGTTATACACGTTTGGACTGATTTGTGCAAAAAAAAAGGGGGGAATCAATTCAAAGAGACCCAAAGGGCTTATTGACTCTTTCTATTGTTAAACAAATTCTCACCATGAATAGATCAAGAAGCACTAGATTCTGCAAAGGGAAGCTTTGTATAGAGTGATGCTCTTTACTGTGCTGTGGGCGCAATTATTTGCTGTATATATGTGTAACATACGATTATTTTTCACGCTCCACTATTTTATTAAAAATAAAATATGTTCTTTAGTTTGATAATTTTTTGGTGTTTTCAACTTTCTGTGCTGTGCTTTGTGGTTAATAAACGTTTCCCCCCCAGTACCCGTGACTTACTAAAGGCACATTTTGCATATAGTACATTATATAGTCTTCTCTTTGGCGACAAGTATAACCGGATAGAACCATAACTTGCAAAAGGGGAACAGCAAGTTGAAAATACTGGTAAATAGTTTTCAAGTTGCCTCTTTTGGGGAAGAAGCGTTAGCAGAGTTATCTGTTAATAGAGCGCAGTCCATGTTCGCAGATCTGTTTGAAATTGCAGCAGGGACCCTTGGTTAACTCCCCTTTAACATTTGCATGGGGTATGGTCAGCCTGTTAAAGAGAATGGACCACTTAAGCGTTACTTTATAGAATACAGTCTGTAATCTGCAATGGTTCTTGTAATATTACTGCAGAGTGTTGCCTTAAACAAGCTGGGGAAAGACGCGCAGGGGAAAGCACTAGTGACGGACTCCTAAATACGGAGATTATATAGTACGCCGTGACAAAGTTCCAGTTGTAGATGCAAATATGCAGAAGTAGGCAGTGGAGCCTGTTTCTGTCCGAACTTTTAAGTTCTCGGTGGAGTTAACAATCAGGTTGCTGCTCAGCGTGATAGCAGCTCAACACACCTCCTTGCAGAAACTTCTCTGGGAGAGTTATTTTATATGGTAACGCATGTTATAAAAATAAAAGAGAGCTCATAATGGACATCGGTGGAGCTGGGATCTCCACAACAGTCACCCCTTAATGGCTTGTAGCTTTATAACAAAAGGACCTTTATAGTTCGCACTGTGACCCAGTTTCTAAGGATATATGTGCTGCAGCTGATGTTTTTTCACTCGATCTTCTTGTAGGCGGTTGAAAATCTTTCCAGCGACGACTAGAAACCTGAGTTTCCAATAATCATGCGTGGATTATTAAACATCTTTATACCTAAATGCACCCAAACAAAGCAGCCTTCACTGCCGATTCTACCATTTTTGTCTGTAAATATGTTCCCCCCCACCTTTGTGTCGATGTGCCACTGCTTGGAAGGGAGCTTTGTAGATGTCTTGGAAGTTAATCCTGTCAGAGCACACCCTGCTGGAGCCAAAGTAGGACACTGCTCTAAACAAATTCAGTTCTGAAACTATTGAATTAATGCCTTCAGATCTCCCTGCGTTCTTGTTAAGATCAGTTACATTAGAGCCCAAGGAGGGCAAACTTACAGAATAAAAAGACACATCATGCAAATTATTAGGGAAAGTCCTCAAATCGTGTGGGCTTTTTTTAAATTAGTTATGTAGATCATCTTTCTACTCCTGCACCTGTAATGTAAAAACGTGCTTGGGGGGGGGGGGCGGGGG